AAAGTGTTGCATAACAACATCATCACAACAGGATGTTTGTGTATGATTATATAGAAAAAAATAGTCCTACAAATGCATAGATAAGGACACCCTTTAAATGTTACCTTTTACATAATTTACTGTTTTATCTGGCCTTTTTATTCTGACATGATGTGGCACAACTTAACTAAACTCTACTTATTTGAAATAATCATAAAGATAAAGTTAATTATTATCTGGTATCAACCCCCTTTTGTAGTTTCTATTTCAATTTACAGTCACTGATGACTTCAAAAGATGGCTTGTATGATAATCACTGCTTGATGCAATATTTGGCATATGAATCAAAGCTGATGTGTATCTCTACCGACTTATTGTGCCTTAAAATAAGAAATTGATTTTAAATTTCTAAACAGATGTTACCATATTTTTTATAAGTGTAATATGTGAAGATACAGGAACATATTTTAAAGTGTAAAAGAGATCTTTCCAGCCAAGCAGTCTGTTTTAAAAAAAAAAACAAACTTGGGTGATACCCGAACTGAGCAGTTTTTCTTCTGCCCTGGCTGTTTTATTTTCATAGGTAGCACCACCTACTGTTTTGGAGGTGAACTGCAGCATTGATTGTAAACACAGAACAACCTGCTATGGACACAGTTTTGACTCGCATTGAATGTTCGACATTGATTTCTGACCTAGGACCAGTTTATTTCATCAGAAATTGTAAGAGTAGGGCGTGCAGGTGGTGCATTGGCTTCTTGTTAAAAGGGACTTTTTCCTCTCCACTGTTGCTAAAAGCATGCTTAGTGTGAGGGATTACATTTGAGTCAATGAGTCGATGCAATCAACTGGTTTTCCTTAGATAGAAAACTTTGAATCAATTTGACTGTATGATCTGGTGAACTGTAAAGTACCTTGAGATGACGTGTGGTGAATTGGCGCTATAGAAATAAACTGAATTGAATTGGTTAGTGAGTATGGTCCATGTTTCATTCTATATCAGGCTAGGGCAGCATGTCCACCGTCCTAATCAGTGTGATTGTATCCAACTTTATTCTGAAAAACCATAACATTATATTGCACAGCATTGTGGTTTTGTGGTGAATTATATCCTTTCTATTCTGCTTGTTGGTCTTGTGTCTGTAATTTGACAGGGTGTGTTGAGATACACAATCTGGTGCTTGAAGGAGAGATTTGAAAGCAGTCAGACAGGAAAGTTTTTGGATGTAAAGTTACTTAACATTTGTCCTCAGTCCCGATAAACCCATCTTTTCTCTCTTTTGCATCCATTGTTCTACTGACTCCTTCTTCTACATTTTTTGCTTCTGTGGCAGTGTTAAGAGCACCACCCTCTGGCCTGGCATAAGTATTGCAACGCCTTTTACTGCTCCTCTGGCTTTAGGCGTTTTCATCTTTTCACTCAAACTTTTCAGTGCAGAAAGTCTTTTCGACTCCATGTGGCCATAAGCAAGAATTGAATAACTGCATTTCACTGGGACTTTAGAGGAGATTGCTAAATGTGTTTAAATGGTGAAATGGATTGATCTGATGTGCTCTTGGTGCCTTCATTTTGTAAAAAAGCCGAAAGTAAATCTGCATATTTTTATATAGAGCAAATCCGTACGTATATGAGCTATAGGTCATACTATAATAATTTTTTTATATTCTTTCTAAACAGCTGCGTTTGCTTTAAATATCTTTTTATATTTGTCTTGGTGCGTATCATATGGAGTTTAATTGCAGTAATTGCTGACCCGATGAGGCTGTTTGGATCAGTGTTATCAGTGTTACTGCATGCATGTGCCTCTATATGGATGTTTTTCTTTTTGGCATCTAACGTGAAGCCCAGATATATTTCTTGGCTGCCTGACTGTTAGACTGAAAGCGTGGGAGGCGATATTCATAGAGGTGCTTTTAGTGGGACTTTTATGAGAGACTTTTTTCCATGGCTGAAAGGAGGTTGACCACACACACACACACACACACAGCAAGGTTGCACGGGCTCAGCAAACACCCCCGCGTGTTTGTGTGTGCACATGCTCGGCTCTCTTCCTTCGAGCACGCCTGCGTAGGGGCTGCCAGGGGTGTGTTCTGCTTCATGTTTTGTTTCGGAGAGCCCTCCTCTGTGCTACGGAAGTGTTGCCGGAAGCAGTGGGAGCTCACCCCCGGTTCTGCGTCAGTGCCACTAAAGAAAGGATTGGGGCTTTCCGGGAGGAGGGAGGAAGGGATGGGGGCTGTCAGCCTGGGTATGTCACGGCCATGTGGGTGGTTGTCTATGCGCGCACTCATAGGCGCAGTCACGACAACTCTTAGAAAAGCTATTCTTGTATCCACTGCATCGCATGCTTGCTTTAAGTAAACCGCCTGCTTTGGAGGGGAATTACAGGTGTCTGAGAGAGTTTGCACACTTTTACATGTGCTGATGTTCAGTTTAAAGTTTGCGTATTTTTTTATTGTTTTTCTTAAGCTGTGAGGGAGATTTGGTCCTGACCAAAAGGGCTAATTTGCTCCAAAGTCGTGTTTTTTTCCTGTTTGCCTCCTTTGTCATCCTGTTTGGGCCCCAGCACTAAATTCCTACACCCTGATTATGTGAGGAAGGACCTGTGGTATCACAAAGTAAAACCAGTATCCTTAGACGCTGGAGCACAGCTTGCAAAAATCCCCAGAAGGAGAAAAAAAGAAAGTAAGAAAAAAAAAATCTCTTTCCTGGCAAGACAGAAAAAGGAAAGCAATGTGCAGAAGCCTGTGGCCTGCACATCCTAAGGGATGTTTTCATCTTTCTCTGCTCCCCCAACTTGTTTTAATGTCTGCCATTTGAGCTACTCCAGAGGGGCTGCACCTGTTTGCCTCTCGGCTAGGAGCCCCCCGTATCCCTCCTCCTGCCCCCGCCTGCCACTCAAGCTACTGCACCTCCTGGGAAGGATGGATGGAGCGAGGAAGGAGTGGAGGAGTGTGGGGTTGCGTGTGGTGGAAGGGATAGCTGCAGGGCTTGAAGGCGTCCGGGAGCCAGAGCAGAGATGTAGGCACAGAGAGTGAAAGAGAATAGTTTCCAATCCAAGTCCAGTCTCCCACACTGGACAAGGCGCTCCTACTTTGGAGTGTTCTCTCTTTAATGTTCGACCCTCCACATTCTCCTTTATTGCTGTGTTTTCTCTCATCTTCTCTCTCCTCCCGTACAAACCCACATCTGCTCGCCTTCTCTCCCGTGTTAGCTTGTCCTTTCAGCCTATTGTTCCTTTGCTCTTCTCCAATTTCTGACTCATTCTTCTTTACTCCCAGCATCTCCCACTCCTCGGAGCTAAGTTTTTCCTCTGCTCCCCTTTCTGCCCCTGTTCGTCTTTTTCTTCTCCCTGATGGCACTACGTAATCTGCAGTGACCTCTTTAGGTCACATTAAAGGTCAACCAGCTTTACTCTTGCACTCCCCTGGGGCCACACTCGTCTAGATGCCTTTTCTCTAATTCTGGCAGCTGTGATCAAAACACTCTGCGTATAATTCAGCTGATTTGATTCAAAACACAAAATACTGATTTCAAACCATGTATTTTAAAGTTATGTTTAATCATGCATACATTTATGTGACCTGATTTAGAGAAAACAAAAACACAATATCAGTTGTGCAAAGAAACAGAAAGAAAAAGCTCTTGTTCTGCAATACAACTAAATAAAACACAAATGCAGCTTAGTTGATGTTGCTCTTTATTTTCTTTATAAGATTGTAAATAAACTGAATAAAACTGGAGTTTAACTGTTCTAATGTGATAAACTCTGTGTGAATGCTTATCATTTTGTACTTTGGAGATTGTGGTTAATATGCAGCCATGCTTTTTGCATGGGTAAAATAGAGGACTTTTTGTACCGACTATTTGTCAACTGGTACGTTTCGTACCCACTTTGACAACCGGTTGTTTAACGTCATTTTAAATCACCGTAATGATTTGCCCATGGTGAACTGTTTAGAAATTAGGTTTTGTTGCTCCAGTAAATAAAATCTGCCAACAGGAGTTTTTTCTTTTTTTTTTTGGGAGTTATTTCGGTTCAATCTGGGTTCATCATCTGTTACATTTTAATAAGATCCGACTGGCTCTAACGTAGATCCTGACCAAAAACAATAGAAAATCCTCAAAAACTGAATTACAGCTCGATTAAATTATCCCTGAGATGCGACCATTTTTATTGTTTATCTCCAGAGTTCATCAGAAATATGAAACTACCAGGAAAAATAAAGATTTATATTTCTTAAAATTTAAAAACTGCATCAATACAAAAGGCCAGCTTTAATATTTCTCAAAACAATTTAAAAACCAGCCTAAAGTAATAATCTTTGTAGGAGATTTATATATATATTTCTGTATATAATATATATGTTTTTTTAAGACTTTAATTTAACTGATGCATTAAATTAGAACAATTAAATTGTATTTTACCTGGGAGGGTGGGGAGGATGATTGGGGGACATATTCTGTCATTTTTACCACCTAAATGGAATCAAAACCTGCAAAAAACTAAAACTGAAAAATATAAAATCTTCTGGAATATTATATAATTAGATAAAGCTGTATTTGAGTTTAGAGATTTTTTTTCTTATTGTTGGTAATTATTTCTTGGTAAAGAAAAATGTAACTACTAATAAGAATAATTCAATATGTGATGGTTATGCCCAAAGATATCAAGTTGAAATGAGGGTTTGGAGTCTCTAAGTCAACAAGGGTCATAAGTATTTCCAGCTGAGTTAAATTGCTGTTAAGCAAACCTTTTAGTTATTTTTATTTTATTTTACACTGCTTTGAACTGTTTTTCATATTAAATATTCTCTAAATGTTCCCTATAAAAGATCCAGTTCCATATTTTGATATAATCATTAATTATTAGCTCAAAATAAAATATTGTGAACCTCATTTTGTTTGTATATTTGAAAAACACACATTTCTTGTTTATAAATATGCTTAAAAAAACAGTTTCCCAGGTGGTTACGAGTCGTCTGAATGATCTCGCTAAGCTTTCTTCTGGTGTGGTTTGCAGAACCGCGGGCGCTTGGCAGAGAAACGCACCATTCCTCTTCCACCCAACCGGGTTCCCAAGAAGGAACTGGCCTCCATTTTTAGCAGTGACGACAGCGAAGGTAGCGAGCGGGCCAGTGGGGATCATGCCCACATCAAGCAGGAGGAAGATCTGCATTACAGTATCATGAGAAAAAGGTAAGACACCACTAGATTCAAAGGCCATGAACTGTGAACAGGATTTTTTGTAATGCAAATTTGCAGCTGTGTTTTTGAAGAGCCTTCAACTTGTGCAATTTTGATTTGTTTATTTTATCAATTAATATGTAGAAAATGTGTGATGTGACTTTTTATATAAACAATTTGCCTTTCATGGCCTGGTTTATGTGTAAGCAGAATTATTGCCTCAAAGACTGATGCCCCATTCGGACTGATGGTCCCTGATGCTGATCTGAAAGTTCAAGAAAATATTTGCTTTAATTGAGTCACAGTCTGATGCTTCATTTCATCAGTATAACACGATGTGTTGCAATCAGTTGGATCCTGAATAATTCAAAACTAATTTTATTGACCACCATGTCGGTCCTTCCTGAAAGGGACAGCTGTGTGCACATCCAACCAAAAGATACAATAAAAGCACTAAGATAAGGTTTTAACAATGCATAACTTTAGTCTTTATTTTTTAAGATATTTCTGACTAAAGGTACAGCTAAAATAAGTTTAAGTTACTGTCCAAAGGACATTAAGGCTTTGCTTTGAATGAGCTCCAGCAGCTAATACAGTATATTTCACTGTCATTGTAATCAGTAAAAAACACTTTGATTTGTTCAGGAAAATCTATATTCCCTTGATCAAAAAAAAAAAAAAAAAAAGGAAATGTGGTTTTGTAATTTAGTTTTGCATGGCAAACTTAAAAAACTAGGTTCAGAGTTTTAAAAAGTGGCAACTCAATGTAGTGGTCTGGTTTGTCAGGGATCCTGCTGATGTAATCACTGATAGTAGAACTAAGGGAAGATGAAAACTTAGGTGATAAACGCATATTTAATCCCAGAGGGGTTTGGTGTTTTGACCAGCAGTCATTTCATGGTCATTTAACAATTGAGATGGCTCAATTTCAGACAGAGATGCTAAATTTGGACACTTGGAGCATTTAGGCTGATCTATTTGTTTGTGCTGCTGCTTTTCAGGTAGAATCTCTGCTGCCTGCTTTATCTCATGCTTTAAATTGATGGGGAGCAGATTGATTGGAGGGCATGGATTAGGGTGGCATGGGTTTTTTTTTCTTGTGCTTTTATCTATTTTACTAGCTGTAAGCATTGCGGGTAACAGAAAAGAGAAAATCCCACATTAATCAAACAAATGTTTGAGGTGTAAGTCCCATTCGGTCCAAATGGATGCAGTCATCCTTTTTTTTTTCGCTCTTATTTTAAATATTTCCAGTTACCCGATTATTATACGGATTTTCCACTCAGTTAGCATTTTTGTAAATCTTTTTGTATGATATAATTGGCATTCAAAATGCTGAATCGGTTCGTTGATGGACGTAGAAAGTCCCTGGTTGCATTAGAAACATCTTGTTAAACCTTGTTAAAGCGGGGGATGTTTTTCTTGTCTTGAGGCTTCCGTGTGACGCAGCGGACAGCACAGCAACTGTGAACCTTTAAATGGATCCACTAACCTCGTTTAAGAGGGCCTCCCCTCCCCCTGACACTTGTGCCGCTGGCGTGTTAAGATGATAATGAATTTAAAGAACACTTATGACTAATATATCAGGTTTTTACCCTTTTGAAAGGCGGCGGACACGCTGGAGCCGCAGCTCCGGTCTGTCGTTGGCATCTGTCTGGGCTAGGCTTTATGCCTCCGACGTGGGTCTGGACAAACAGGATAATGGGATGTCCAATCATGAAAATGTGATTTCCATTGACCGCAACTCCGTAAGTGAGTCGTAGAAGGGTCTTAACAAATTGGATTTGGTCAATGGATGTGAAAAATACAGGGCCTCTGTGTACATGTGTCAGTGTGTCTGTACTGTCTCTTCCTCACGTCATCGGGGCTGACAGGAGGTCTGTCACACCCACTCAGCTGTAACAACTTGTCTACTGTAACTGTACTCTAATACATTCATCAGATGTGTCATGGCAATTTTCCCTAAGTTTCTGTTCCCGACTGAGCAGTTGATCTTCTGAGCTGCTTTAGAGCTCTCACTCTCCTCCAGTTTTTTGTAAAGTTGGAAATTGCAGTGCAGTTTTTTTTGTCCTGTAAAGGGGAGTCTGGTTTATTATAAATAATGTGCAGTAAACATTTTGAAGGGAAATATTTAGTAAGACTAAACTAAATGTAAACTTTTTATGGCCAACATGCTGAATCGTCATGCTGCATTCTGTGAATCTATGCCCACTGAGAAAGCATGGTGGTAGCAGCATTATGCTTCTACGTTTATTTTAAAAAACAAAGACTCTGGAATTAATTAACTGATATATGGAGCTAATTACAGGCTAATATTAAAAAATATGCTGTTAGAGGTTCGAGAAGACCTAAGATCTTGGAAATTCGATTTCCAGCAGGAAAATAGCCACAAACATAGAGCTGGAGGTAGTGAAGGGTTTAGATCAAAGCATATTGAGCAGATAAGCCCAGTTAAAGTATCAAGAATCTGTGGCAAGGATTGAAATTTTAGGTTTAAGCTGACTTTGTCTGAACTTTTATAAAAAAACATTTCAGTCAACAGGCGATTTTTTGCTGTAGTTATTGTGTAAAGGGAGTTCCACAAAGTATTGACTCTTTGGGGCTAGAAACAATTGCATGCATTTTGTATTTAGCTTTTAGTTGGAAGATAAAATTTAGGCTAAAATTGTCCTTCAGCTTCATGGATATTTACTACTGTTTTAGATGTCCCACAGACATGTCCAATTAAAACTACTGAAGTTGAAACGGGCGAAGTTGTATGAATACTTCATCAAGCACAGTTCCTCTGGAGGGGAGGTGGATATGTAATTTCTGGGAACAATAAAACTAAAGGGGAACTTTGTCCTTGCTTTATGTTCTGTGCTACAGACTTATTTTGTCTTTATCTGTATTACGGATGCATATCAATTTCATAATTTATTTAAAAATGTCCTGGTGTAGAATGACTTTAGTCCAAAGATACACTGACTTTTAAGTTCAAAACATAGGTAACAGTCTTTGCTGATTGTAGAAGTGTTATGATGACATCTCACTTCCTCCTAATCACTAAAGTTCAGTTTGGGTAATGATTTGGAAACTGCTGATGATACCTACCTTTCAGGATGCACCCTAAAAAATATCCAACACACATGTTGATGTATACCAAACATCAGCCCATTTTTTTTTTAAAGGAAAATTTAATTAACCGAAAGATAATACATAAAATAAACTAGATTAGGAACAATACTTCTTTGTTATTACGCATCTAAATTTCAATTGCAAGAGAGCATGGATCATTCCTCCCTCCCTGCAGAAGATAAGATCTTTCCATGGAGAAGCATTGACTCTTACTCCCTAAGAAAACAAAATCTCATTTTTCATAGAATAGCAAGCATTTCTCTGTCTGAGTGCTTTGACATTTTGTCCTCCTGGATTTATCGAACAACTGTGTCATTACCTTATGCCAGTTGGGGGTCATGGACAGTGTGATATTACTGGAAATGGCTCTCCCCCCAAAGCGCTAATTAGAGAGCTCGGGGGTTTTATAGCTTTTTAGCGGAGCTTTCCACTAGAAAACATGTTTGTCTTGTTTGCGTGCATTTACCATGGAAACACAGTCAGTACATCGTAGCTGCTTCTCATGTGTTGGCTACCAGCAAAACATTCATTATTTTCACACGTAACTGTATTGTTTCTTTATACATGTTTACTGGGAAAAGATATCTGGAGCTCAAAGCTGAAGGTTTATCACCTACAGCTGTGGCGTTTGCAGGTCTTATACATTATGTCCCCTTAAAGTGTTTAGGAAATCCGCTTTAGCTGAGAGTTTTGTGGAAGCATGAATGAAATGCTTTAAATGTTGCTTCAGAAATAAACATCTCTTAATATTAGTTGAACATTATTAAAAAAAGAAGCTAATAAAGAATGTAAGAATGCAGAACTTCTGTTCGACACAGCAGCATTGCAGTTCGCTCTGTTTCAACGTATATTTCTTTCCTCCCCCTCTCTTGTCTCATTTATTGACCTCATGTCAGCTTGTACAGCTGGTATAAGGGAAGCTAGACTACTCTTACTCATTTATGTATCTACACCTGTATTTATTCATTACCTTGTCTTCCCACAGTTGGAAGTTAAGGATTCAGTGCTGAGGAGTTGTGACAGTTGTGTACGCTTTCACTAACAGGAACCAGAAGAACTTTCCAAAAGAAATGGAACACGTCCTGCTTTAGACACCTTGTTGTGTTATTGTTTAGCTCTGCTGTGAATTAAGCTACGCCCAAGCCTCTCTGCACTTCTCTCGTTGAATATTGCATCTTGCATGGCTGTATTTGATTGTTGCTGCAGGCCACCTGCACAGGTTGGAGCAGCCTGTATGCACCAGATGTTATGCAGCACTCATACCCCGTTTCTCTGTCTCCTTCGTTTCCCTTTCTCCGTGCACACCCTCATATCCCCGCTGTCTGACTGTCAGCGCCTTCCCAGTGTTGGTGTGAGACATGGCGTCAGGGTGCCGGGCTGCCAGCTTCTGCCAGCTCACACTGTGACCTCCAACTCTGCTGCATCAGCTTCATGTGCCAATGCCACAGTGGGGCACTTCTGTGCATTTATAGTGAGACGACTCCTAGTGTGAGCGGAAGAGTCTTTTCATGTTGCTTTAGCTGGTTCAAACTGCTGTGAGTGCTTTAGTGTAGGAAGGCAAATCCATTTATAGGAAAAGGTTTTGCTTCAGTGTTTGCCTTTTTTCGTTCTATTTTCTTTTGCATTGCCAAAAGCCTTTAAACAACTTTAATGTCCAAAATTGAACTAGTCTTCTTAACTTCTTGACTTCTTAACAAACTACATGTATTCGTCTGCTAATAAAAAACAGATTTCTCTGCATAACTGAGTTGATATTTATTGACCCATTGAACAAGGAGACTCTAACTGCTTAATAAAGTAATAAACAGTTATATTTTATAAAATAATTAATGTAACTATAGGCTGAGAAGGACATTTAGCCTCAGTTCTCATAAACTGTCTTCAGAATAGTAAAT